CTGTTTCCTCACGACAGTGCTGACTCAGCACGCCGCTTTAGGCTTGGCTTAACCTGCCCGGCTTAGGCTGGGCTCGGACAGCGAGGGGAGCCCAAAACAAAAGCGGGTCTGGGTGACCGGGGGGGGGATGGACACTGCCCTGAGTGACCAAATCCACAGGCTGGACTCGACCCTGCAGGGGATTCCTGACTGAAATGATCCCAAAATTCTGTGCCCCAGCTCCCATGTCACAGCTGGAGGGGGTTCTGGAACATCTGGAGATGGCAGGGACATTTCACATCTGGAACATTTCACAACAAGGGTTGGGGGGAGGTTCTGGAACCTCTGGAACGTTTCACAACGCGGGTGTCCGGGAACGTTGCAGAATTTTGGTGCAATCTCAGGAAGTGCCCCCAAAAACCTTAAAAAAAAAAAAAAAAACTCTAAAAACCCTCAATTTCCAACAGCCCCGCTCTGACCCCGCCTCCCACCGCGGGGATGGACGAGGAGACACGAAAATCCCACAGGATTCCAAGCGATGCTTTATTGTGTCCAGGCTGTCCCAGGCAGGCGGGGATCAGCCAGAGCCCCATTCCCAAAGCTGCCCCGGCCCGGTTTTGGTGTCCCCAGGCTCAGTTTTGGGGTCCCCAGGCTCCGTTTTGGGGTCCCCAGGCTCAGTCCCGGTCCGGCCCGCAGCGCTCGGAGCCGTGGCTGATGCGGTGAGCGTCGTCTGCCAGCTTGCTCAGCACGATGGTGAATTCCTCAAAGCTCAGCTCCTTGTCCTTGTTCAGGTCGGTCTCTTGGAACAATTTGTCCAAGTAGCCAGCCCGGTTCCTGTCCTAAAATTGGGGGACAACGGTTGGGGTCACGTCCCTGCTCGGATCCACCCCCGTGGGGAAAACGGAGCTGGGTGGGTCCTGCCCAGCCCTGGGAAGGTTCTGGAAGCTGTGGGGTGTCCCAGGTTAAACCTCTCACTCTTAGTCCCGGGTTAAAGCCCAGAGGGGACCGGATTTTGTCCCAATCCCCCGTGGCTGCCCAGGGCAGGAGGAAGAGCAGGGGGTGACCCCAGGCTGGGCGTGATCAGAAATCTCCTCCTGTGTCCCTCTGTCCCCTCAGGATTGTCCCTCTGTCCCCTCAGGATTGTCCTCCTGTCCTCCATCCCTGTCCCCGCAGGATTGTCCCCCTGTGCCCTCAGGATTCTCTCACTGTCCCCCTGTTCCCCTCAGGATTGTCCCCCCTGACCCCCCGTCCCCCATCCCTGTCCCCTCAGGGTTGTCCCCCTGTCCCCTCAGGATTGTCCCCCTGTCCCCTCAGGATTGTCCCCCTGTCCCCTCAGGATTCTCTCACTGTCCCCCTGTTCCCCTCAGGATTGTCCCCCATGTCCCCCATCCCTGTCCCCTCAGGATTGTCCTCTCAGGATTGTCCCTCTGTCCCCTCAGGATTGTCCCCCTGTCCCCTCAGGATTGTCCCCCCTGTCCCCTCAGGATTGTCCCCTCAGGATTGTCCCCCTGTCCCCTCAGGATTGTCCCCCATCCCTGTCCCCTCGGGATTGTCCCCTCACTCACGCAGGTCCCCAGGAAGTTCGGTGCCTGTTCTGCCAGCAGGGTCCTGAAGTCGCCGATGCTGAGCAGGTCCAGCTCGCCCTGGCGGCTGCTGTACTGGTGGAAAACATCCACCACGGTCTGCAGGGCCCTCTCCAAGGTGCAATTCCCGGGGAACTGCCGGGCCCCGGGCTGGCTGCGGCTGCTGGAGGACATGGCTGAGCTCTGCAACGACCTGCAGGGACAGGGGACAAAGGGGGGCGATGTGAGAGCGGCCAAAAATCAGCGGGGGCTGCACCTGGAGCTCAACCTGGAGCTCAACCTGAGCTGAACATGGAGCTGAATCTGGGCTGAACCTGAGCTGAACATGGAGCTGAATCTGGGCTGAACCTGGAGCTGAATCTGAGCTAAACCTGCAGCTGAATCTGAGCTAAACCTGGAGCTCAACCTGAGCTGAACATGGAACTGAATCTGAGCTGAACCTGGACTAAACCTGAGCTGAACATGGAGCTCAACCTGAGCTGAACATGGAACTGAATCTGAGCTGAACATGGACTAAACCTGGAGCTGAACCTGGAAAACTGAATCTGAGCTGAACCTAGACTAAACCTGAGCTCAACCTGGAGCTCAACCTGGAGCTCAACCTGGAAAACTGAATCTGAGCTCAACCTGGACTAAACCTGAGCTGAACATGGAGCTGAATCTGAGCTGAACCTGGACTAAACCTGAGCTGAACATGGAGCTCAACCTGAGCTGAACCTGGAAAACTGAATCTGAAGCTGAACCTGAGCTGCACCTGAAGCTGAATCTGAGCTCAACCTGGAGCTCAATCTGAGCTGCACCTGGAGCTGCACCTGGAACTGAATCTGAGCTGCACCTGGAGCTGAACCTGGAGTCTCGTCCTGCCGGGGCTGAGCCCTCCAGCCGCTCGGTGTGGAGCAGGAAATGGGGGGATTTGGGGATTTTGCTGGGTTATGGCTCCAGTTCAGCTTTGCAGCTTGTTCCTACACACCTGGTTTTTTTTCAGGTGAGGCCACTGACCGAAGGTTTAGGGCAGAGGGAACAGAATTAGAGGTGCCTGCAGCGAAGATGGCACCAAAATCCCATTAATTGGCGCTCGTTATCCAACCCCAAACAAGCTCCTGCTCTACCCCCAGGGCTGGGCTCCCAAACCACCTCTCCCTCATTTCCCCCTGCAAGGACCATCCCTGTCCTACTCACCCTGGAGTCCGAGGAGGGTTTGCAGGGGATGGATCGGTTGCTGTGACCCAGGAGGCTGCAGCACATCTTTTATACCTGTCTGAGGTCCTGTTTCATCAGAGCTGGGACACACCTGCCACAAGCATCGGCTTGAGTTCACATTTCCCGCACCTGGAAATTGCCAGGTGGGACCCTGGAGCCCCTCCCGGCCTCATTCCTGCGCTGGCAGTTCCTGGTTGCACCCACCAGGCTTTGGAAATGTTGTGCTTCTCCCCTCTGTCACCTCTGACAGGGCTCAGGGAGGGGAAAAACCCCGCGTTTGTCACACCTCGGTGTGGAGGGCAAGGCCAGGAGTTGCCAAAAACTTGGGGGAGTTTTGCAAAGTGACCAAAAAAAAAAAAAAAAAAAGTGCACATTTTCCTTCTGCAAATTGGGCTGTTTCACATGGAAACAGGGAGAGCTTTGTCCCTTGGATGAATTTTCAATGTGATTTCTGTTTTCCACAACCCCAACTGGTTGGACACAGCCCAAGACAACTCATCTGGGTTTTATAACTTGTTTTCTGTTTTCCAGAACATTTTCCATTGTTTCCCGTTTGTACCAGACCTCTGCTCTCGCTCCAGAGATTTTCTGGAGGAAACCGAGCACAAAACCAGGAGAAAACCCAAGGTCGGGATCTTTTCTGGCTGGTGCAGGAACCACCACGGGTTTTGCAATTGTCACCTCCGTGCCACTCACATTAGGGACGAGACGAGCAGACAATGAGATGATTAAAAAATCAGACAATGGGTCTGAGGAAAAGGGAAGGACCAGCCCGAACCGGGGTGCCCATCCCTGTTTGGGGATAATCCCGAGGCCCCAGGGCATGGCAGGGATTTGGTTCCCGTATCCCTGACTCATTCATTGCTCCTTTTGTTTCCCGGACCTGCTCCTTGGTGAGTGTCATCCATCCCAAAATGGAGTGTCACCGATCCCAATTGGAGTGTCACCCATCCCAGACTGGAGTGTCACTGATCCCAAATTGGAGTGTCACCCATCCCAGACTGGAGTGTCACTGATCCCAAAATGGAGTGTCACCGATCCCAAATTGGAGTATCACCCATCCCAAACTTCCAAATCCCAAACACCCATCCCAAATTTCACCCCCGTTCCCCAGCTGCTCTTTTCCAGCTCCCACACTCAGCCCTTTTCCCAACTTTCCCACTTTTCCCGACTTTCCCATTTTTTTTCCCTAAAACCCACGGGGGTCGCAGCCCAGCCCTACCAGGGCAGTGATGCCCGAGTGACCCTGGGGTGACAGAGAGGGACAAGAGCTGCTCCCCAAAGTCAGAGCTGTCCTGTGTCCCCTGTAAAACCCAAACCCAAACCCAGGACAGGTTTTGGCCGATGTTGGAGTTGTTGGAGGTTTTGCCCTCACTGACGGATCCAGGAGTTTTTTCCCACTCCAGTTCCAGCCCCCGGGAGCCCACGGTGGCTTCAGGTGTGTCGTGGCCTGGGGGATCCCAAACCCACGGAGATTTCATTGTCTCAAACCACGAAATGTTCGATTTATTCTGCAGAGCTGCTGTTCCACCCAGCAGCTCCTGGGATGGAGCCCCAGGAGCCCCCAGAGCCCCTCGGGCTCGTTCTGGGCTCTGCCGGGGCTGCTGGGTTGGTTTGGGGGTTCCAGAATTATCCCAGACACCCCTGGGATGTGGCACCCCCAGAATGTGACACCCCTAAAATGTGACACCCCCAGCTCCAGGACTGGGTCTTGACCCAGCCCTGGGGAGGGACAGGACCCCCCCAGCCCCCCCAGTTCTGTTTCACCCCTGACACTTCCCAGAGCTGGTCCCAAGTGGGACTGGGACGAACTGGGAATGTTCCTGTGCCTGTTCCTACCCCGGAGCCCCCAAACTCAAGGGGTGCTGCCCCCTCCCCACCTGCCGAGGTTTGGGGTCACCGCGGGGTCTGACACCCTCCAGGAGCCCCCTCGGCTCAGTGGGGACCCCCCAATGCCTTGTCCTGACCCCCCCTTACCCAAAACAAACTCCCCCTGTGCCCCTCTCCCCTTCCCGTTGCTTTTCCCATTAATAATTAATCAATTTATCCCCGTTTAATCACGAGTGGGCATCACCCCCTCCCCGGAGACCCCAGCACACGGAACACAGCTGGATTTGGTGCTCAGAATAAATTTTATTTATTTCAGTGCCACAAAAGCAGAAGCAGGTGACAAAGGTTTGGCTCCAGGCGAGGGCTGGGGCTGCTGGGGGGACTCAGAGTCCCGTGGCCACTGCAGGTGACATTTCCACTCAGTGACGGTGGCTGTGGCCGTGGCCGTGGCCGTGGTCGTGGCCGTGGCCGTGGTCGTGGCCGTGGTCGTGGTCGTGGTCGTGGTCGTGGTCACCCCCAGGCCCCTCGTGGGACCTGTTGTGGGCATCGATGGCCACGAGGCTCAGCGTGCTCAGGAACTCGGTGAATTTGAGGCGGCCGTCGTGGTTGGCGTCAGCTTTGGTGAAGAGTTGGTTGATGTAGCTCTCGGTGCTCGTGTTGGGCTGTGGGGGGGACAAACAGGGGCAGAGTCAGCTCGGGGTCACCCTGCCTGTCCCCAGAGTTGGGCTGAACCCCCCAAAAAAATCCCCCCCAAAAAAAACTCCAAAATCCACCTACGGTAGCTCCCCCATCCCCAAGGATCCCTGGAAGTGTCCAACATCCATCAGTGTCACTGATCCCGGATTGGAATGTCACTGATCCCAGGTTGGAATGTCACTGATCCCAGATTGGAGTGTCACCAATCCCAGATTGGAGTGTCACCCACCCCAGATTGGAGTGTCACCCAGTCCAGACTGGAATGTGACTGATTCCAGATTGGAATGTCACTGATTCCAGATTAGAATGTCACTGATCCCAGACTGGAATGTCACTGATCCCGGATTGGAATGTCACTGATCCCAGATTGGAGTGTCACTGATCCCAGATTGGAATGTCACTGATCCCAGGTTGGAGTGTCACTGATCCCAGACTGGAATGTCACTGATTCCAGATTGGAATGTCACTGATCCCAGGTTGGAATGTCACTGATCCCAGGTTGGAGTGTCACCCACCCCAGACTGGAGTGTCACCCACCCCAGGCTGGAGTGTCACCCACCCCAGGCTGGAGTGTCACCCACCCCAGACTGGGATGCCAGGCCGGGCTGACTGAGCTCTAGGCTCAGCCTAGCACAAGGTGCCCCTTCCCAACACCCCGGGAATGAGAGAATCTTCCAGACCCCTTCCCCTCCTTTTCCCCCCACATTTCTGGGGTCTCACCGGCACCGTGTTCCTCAGGAAGGGCTCGGCCGTCTCCTTGAGCAGTTTGGAGAACTCGTCCTTGCTCAGGTAATCGTCCAAGGGGCGCTGCAGCGCGTACCGGTGGTAAACGTTGACGGCGCATTCCAGCGCCAGCTCCAGGTCGGTTTTCATCCTGCTGGGAAGGAAGGGACAAAGATTGGATGGAATTCCAGGATGGGGATCAGCTCCTGGAGCTGCCTGGGAGGAGCTGCTCACCTTGAGGAGCGCTGGGATCGGCGGAGGACGCGCAGGACGGAGAGGAGCAGCAGGACTGAGTGATGCTGAGCTGGGCACGGCGCCTTTTATTCCCTCCTGTCCTCCTCGGGTTCCCTCCGGGCCAAACACCCCGGGAATTGTGCAAGGCAGCTCAGCACGCCCAGGATTCCTCGCCCAGCTCCAGGAACTGTTATCGAGGGAGGGGAAGCCCCAAATATGTCAGGCAAAACAAGGAAACGCCAAAAATGACATTGGTGAGAGGCCTGAGGGGTCAGGGAGGGCACAGAGGGGACAGGGATGGCACGGAGGGAACAGGGATGGCACAATGGGACAGGGATGGCACAGGGGGACAGGGATGACACAGGAAGAACAGAATCAGGGATGGCTTTTCTGGAACATTCCCCATGTGTTTGATGGAGATAAAGGCAGAGGGAATTTTCTGGGCGAGGGGTCTCCAGTGGGATTTTTTTGGGGGGGGAGCGGTTTTACCCAGCAGGGCATGTGGATTGTCATTGATGTTTTTGGTGAATTTGGCTGCTGGATTTGCACACCCCCACCCCTCCATGAGGGAGGTTCCCCCTGAACCCAGGGAGTCAATCCTGGGCACCCATCCTGGCACACGGGAGCTGTGCCAGCTGCTCCTGGGAGGTGGCACTTCCCGGCAGCTGGAATTGCTGCCTGGTGATGACCCAGGGCATTGACAAACGCTGCCACCCCCAGATGTCCCCCAAGTGTCGCCAGTGCCTCACGTGGAGCCCTCCCAGTGTCCCCAGTGTCCCCAGTGTCCCCAGTGAACCCCCAGTGGCTGAGGGGGCCTCTGAGCAGCCTCCAGCCCCGTGCTGGTCATTAAGAATTTTGGGAAGTGGGAATGGCAGCGGTGGTGAAACCTCTCCCTGCCAGCCTCGTAATTCCAGGGCACGAGGAACCGGTGCCAGAAAAACACAAAATTGCAAAAGAGGGACACAAAGGGACAGGTCTGGGATGGGGACGGGTGCGTCCCTGCCGGGAAGGGAAGGGGACACGCGTGGGCTGCGCAGAGGGACACGGGTGACCTGTCAGGGACACGGGCTGGGACAGGCCCGGGGATGTGTGAGGGCGTGGCCGGGCCACGCGGGGAGGGACAGGGACACCTGTGTGCCATGGGGACAGGGACACCTGTGTGCTATGGGGACAGGGACACCTGTGTGCCATGGGGACAGGGACACCTGTGTGCCATTAGGACAGGGGCACCTGTGTGCCATGGGAGGGGACACCTGTGTGCCATGGGGACAGGGACACCTGTGTGCTATGGGGAGGGGACACCTGTGTGCTATGGGGACAAGGACACCTGTGTGCCATGGGGACAGGGACACCTGTGTGCCATTGGGACAGGGACACCTGTGTGCCATTGGGAGGGGACAGGGACACCTGTGTGCCATGGGGACAAGGACATCTGTGTGCTATGGGGACAGGGACACCTGTGTGCCATGGGGACAAGGACACCTGTGTGCCATTGGGACAAGGACATCTGTGTGCCATGGGGACAAGGACACCTGTGTGCCATTAGGACAGGGGCACCTGTGTGCCATGGGAGGGGACACCTGTGTGCCATGGGGAGGGGACACCTGTGTGCTATGGGAGCAAGGACACCTGTGTGCCATGGGGACAGGGACACCTGTGTGACATTGGGAGGGGACATCTGTGTGCCATGGGGACAGGGACATCTGTGTGCCATGGGGACAGGGACACCTGTGTGCCATTGGGAGGGGACACCTGTGTGCCATTGGGAGGGGACACCTGTGTGCCATGGGGACAGGGACACCTGTGTGACGTGGGGAGAGGACACCTGTGTGCCATTGGGAGGGGACAGGGACACCTGTGTGCCATTGGGAGGGGACATCTGTGTGCCATGGGGAGGGCACAAGGAGCACCTCAGACACCTCCAGGGCTGGCCACTCCAAACCCCCCTGGGCAGCCCCTGCCAGGTCCTGGCCGCCCTTTCCAGGAGGAATTTTCCCAAATTTCCACCCTGAGCGCCAGCCCGGGGCCGTCCCCTCCCCTCCTGTCCCCTGGTGCCACCGCCGCTGTCCCCGAGCTGAGCACGAAGGTGGCGGAGAGGGGGCACGGCCACATCTGGAAAAGCTTTCCTTGGCGAGAGAAAAGGGGGAGAGGAACGGAACCGGAACCGGAACCGGGGCCGGGCTGAGTGGCCCGGAGCACCGGGAAGGGTCCGAACCCGGAACCGGAACCGGAACCGGGGCCGGGCTGAGTGGCCCGGAGCACCGGGAAGGGTCCGAACCCGGAACCGGAACCGGAACCGGGCCGGGATGGGCTGAGCTGGGATGGGATGGCCCGGAGCATCGGGAAGTGTCCGAACCCCGGGCAGGACCGGGACCGGGACCGGGATGGGCTGGCCCGGAGCACCGGGAAGTGCCCGCACTCGGGGCAGGAACGGGAACGGAGCCGGGCTGGGCCGGGCCGGGCTGGGCTGGGTTCGCCCGGAGCACCGGGAAGTGCCCGCACCCCGGGCAGGAACAGAACCGGATCCCCCGGGGGTGGGGAGGGGACAAAGGTGACACCGCGACAGGTGAGGGACACACCCCGAGCATGCTGAGCATCGAGAATCCAGCTCGGAGCCGGGATCCCGGTCCCGGGGGGAGATCCAGAGGGTGGGAATGAGGGAACCGGGAATGAGGGAACAGGGAATGAGGGACCGGGAATGAGGGACGGGGAATGAGGGACCGGGAATGAGGGACCGGGAATGAGGGACAGGGAATGAGGGACAGGGAAAGAGGGACAGGGAATGAGGGACAGGGAATGAGGGACAGGGAATGCAGGAAAAGGGAACGCAGGAAAAGGGAATGAGGGACAGGGAATGAGGGACAGGGAATGCAGGGACAGGGAATGAGGGAACAGGGAATGCAGGAAAAGGGAATGCAGGAATAGGGAATGAGGGACAGGGAATGCAGGATCCGGGCAGGGCTGACTCAGCCCGGCCGGGGAGCGGCTCGGGAGCGGCTCAGGAGCCCTCGGGGAACGCGGAATCCACCCCTGGGCAGAGCCAGAGCCAGCCTGGCACCGGCAGAGAGGGCACGGGGGCTTCCACCAGCGCCAACACCGCGGCCCCGGGGACAGAAACCCCCGGGGAAAAAAAAAAAATAATAAACTTAATTAATCAAACTTTATTGAAATGACATCGGGGGGGACAACGGGAGGGTCCCGGGGGGGGTGACAGCGCCCTGCCCTCACTTCCTGCGTGGCATCTTGTCCGGGAGGTCCTGGAAGAAGTCATTGCACATCATGGCCATGCAGGCCAGGAAGGTCACGTACTCCTGGAAATCCACCTCGCTGTCGCTGTTGCAGTCCAGGTTGCTCATGAGCTGCTGTAAACTCGCCTCGCTGGTTTGTTTCTGCCCGGGGAGGAGGAAAGGAGGGGTTAAAACCGGGCTTTGCACATCCCCGAATCCCGGGTTTCCCAGCGGGGTGCGGCACTCACGCTAAAGCTCGGCAGCTCCTTCAGCAGCAGCTCCTTAAGCTCGGCCTTGTTGAGCTTGTACTTGTCGCCCTCGTTGCCGGAGTATTTGTGGAAGGTGGCGACCACCACGGCCAGCGCCTGCTCCAGGGGACACGCCATGGGGACAGCGGCAAGCCTGGGGACACGGGGAGGGGACAGCGGAGTTTGGCATCCCCAGGGACCCCCGTGCCCCCTCCCAGGCCTTGGCACAGCCCGGGATGCGCCGCTCCCTCCCGGATTCCTCCCTCCCTGATTCCTCCATCCCGGATTCCTCCCTCCCGGATTCCTCCCTCCCTGATTCCTCCCTCCCGGATTCCTCCATCCCGGATTCCTCCCTCTCGCTCCGGGCTGGGCAAAATCTCCAAAATAAAGAAAAAATTGGGAGCCCGCAGCCCCCTCGGGCAGGGAAAGGGGCCCGAGGTGCTTTTCCAGCCCTCGCAGGTGAAATCCAAATTTCCAGCTCGGCACCTGCAGCAGGAACCTCCCGCTCCGCCCCGGTGGGAAATCCCTGCCAGGGGACCCCGGCGTGGGCAACATCTGGAGAACATCTGGAGTGAGATGAGAGGGGGGAAAGCGACTCACCGAGAGTTCAGACGAGACGGAGGAGTTCAGGCAGGGCGGAAGGGGAGCCAGCCCCAGGCCCTGGCATTTATAGCCCAGCCTGGGCCACACCCGGCCGGGGAGGCTCCGAGCCCGCCCGGACACGGCTGGAAAAGGAGAAAAGGAGGAGAAATGAAACCCCGCGAGCTGCCAAGGTGGGGGTGGTTTGGATCACGAGGAGCAAAACGAGCCCCTAGGGCTGGGCAGGGACCACCCCGAGCCGGGAGAATCCCCCGGGGTTCGGGTGGGGTTCGGGCACCGCGTCCCCCCGGGCGGGCGCTGCCGGTGCCCGGTGCCCGGTGCCACCCGCGCCGTTCCTGGCCCCGTCCCCGGGGGTGTCTGGGACCCAGCGGGGCTTGGCCGTGTGGGTTGATGTCGAGCTTTGTGTCAAGGGATTTTTCTGTTTTCCAGTCGCCCTGGCAGGGATTTTTTTGTTTCCTGACGACGCCCCAAGGGCTCCGTTGTGTAACGGAGCTGTTTCGGTGGCGGCGTGGCCCGGGCACGTGTCCGGGCACCGGGAACGGGCAGTGCCCAGCCCCCGGTCCTGAAAAAACCCCTCGAGTGTCCCCCCAGCCCTGGAAAACTCCTCCGAGTGTCCCCCAGCCCTGGCAGGACCCCTGAGTGTCCCCCCCAGTCCCCGAGTGTCCCCCCAGCCCTGGAAAAAAAAACCCGAGTGTCCCCCAGCCCTGGCAGGACCCCTGAGTGTCCCCCCCAGTCCCCGAGTGTCCCCCAACCCTGGCAGGACCCCCCGAGTGTCCCCTCCAGCCCCCGAGTGTCCCCCCCCGGGCCCCTCCTCTGCTGAGGGGACCAGGGGGACACAAACGGGGACGAAGCTCGGGATGCTCCAGGGGGATTGGAAATCTCCCCGAACCCCCCTCGGCACCTCCCCAGTTCGGGGGGGTTTTGACATTTGGGCAGAAGAAACCCCCAGAGCTGAACCTCGGCACCCCAGTAAGGAGTGGGGATTACTGGGAATTACTGGGAGGGGCAGAAACTCCGGGGGTTCTTTATAAAGGGTCTGGGAAAGGGGCAGGGAAAAGTTTGGGGCTGCTGGAAGGACCTGGGAGGGCTCGAGAGGATTTGGGGGGGGGCTCGGGAAGAACTTGGGGGGCTCAGGAAGGACCTGGGGGGCTCAGGAAGGACCTGGAAGGGTTCGGGAGGAACATCCAAGAGCTGTTTTTGCTCAAACTTGTCCGAAAAAAGCCTCCCGGGCAATGGAAAATCCCAGGGAGCCGGAGGAAAGTGTGAGTCACTGCGTGCCCAATGCGGGTGGCCACAGAACGGCGGGGCATGGCCAGCACTGGGGAGACCCGGAACAGAACCCCGGAACTGAGCTGGGATTGGGGAGAACCGGAATAGAACCCCCAAGACTGAGCTGGGACTGGGGAGAACCGGAATTAAACCCCCAGAATTGAGCTGGGATTGAGGAGAACCGGAATAGAACCCCTGGAATTGAGCTGGGATTGGGGAGAACTGGAATTAAACCCCCGGAATTGAGCTGGGATTGAGGAGAACTGGAATAGAACCCCAGAATTGAGCTGGGATTGGGGAGAACTGGAATTGAACCCCGGAATTGAGCTGGGA